AAAAAAAAAAAAGAAAGAAAGAAATGGGGTTATTTGTTCTTGTTGATTAGTTTGAATTCTCTGTGGATTCTAGTTATCAGACCTTTGTCAGAAGCATAACCTGCAAATATCTTCTCCCATTCTGAGGCCTGTCTGTTTGCTTTACATACTATGTTCTTAGCTGTGCAGAAGTTTTTTAGTTTGATCAGATCCCAGTAATGTATTTTTGGTGTTGCTTCAATTGCCCGGGGCAGGGAGGGGGGAGTCCTCCTCATAAAATATTCTCCCAGGCCAATTTCTTCAAATGTTTTCCCTGCACGCTCTTCTAGTATTTTTATAGTTTCATGTCTTAAGTTTAAATCTTTTATCCAGTGAGAATCAATTTTTGTCAGTGGTGAAAGGTATGGGTCCAGTTTCAGTCTTCTACAGATCCCCAGCCAGTTCACCCAGCACCATTTGTTAAATAGGGTTTCTTTTCCACACTCAATGTTTTTGATAGGCTTATCAATGATCAAATGATGATAAGCAGCTGGGTTCATCTCTTGGTTCTCTCTTGTATTCCATAAATGTACTGCTCTGTTTTTGTGCCGGTACCATGCTGTTTTGATCACTATAGATTTATAGTATAGCCTAAAGTCTGGTAACGTGATATCTCCTGATGTGTTTTTATTTCTGAGTAATGTATTGGCTATTTGAGGTTTTTTCTGATTCCATATAAAATGAAGCACATTTCCATCTACTTTGTGCAAATGGTTAATAGAAGCTTGTAACTTTAAAAATTCTGTTTTGAAGGGAAATCAGTACTTTACTTTTACAAATCTTTTTATGCTCTTGGCAGCTTGCAGTTAAATTCCTTAATGTGATTATGTTGTGTTTAGGATTATACATTTAGATCTATTTATGGGAATTTAGTACTTTTTTATAGAAAATCAACTTAATTTATATTTTGGTCTCTACTGCTGTGAGAAATTTATATGCTTACCTGTTAATTAAATTCCAATTTGTTTTCTCCCTAGATGCACTCACAGAAAGGGGAAACATCAGTAGGAAATGGCAACCAGCCAGAAAGTTCAGTGTCTACTCCATCTGCCTCATTTGAACCTAACAACACTTCTGAAAACTCTCAGTCCAGAAATGTAGAGCTTTGCGAGACACCACCCACTTCTCCTGAAATAAAGTCAGATACTGCAACAGGTACCTTTCAGTGTACCTTTAGGGGCACAATGGATATACTCCTTCATTTTGTTTGAAGGCTATGGATTGGTATTTTTTAAAATAAATATTTTGGGCTGGGTGGGGTGACTCACTCCTGTACTACTCTGGGAGGCCAAAGTGGGAAGTCCGAGACCAGCTTGATCAAGATCAAGGCCTTGTCTCTACTAAAAATAGAAAAATTATCCAAGCATTGTAGCAGCTGCCTGTGGTCCCAGCTACTTGAGAGGCTGAGGCAAGAAGATTCCTTGAGCCCAAGAGTTTGAGGTTGCTATGAGCTATAACACCATGCCACTCTACCCAAGGGGAAAGAGTAAGACTCTGTCTCAAAAAATAAATAAATAAATAATAAATTGTGGTTTTTTCTTCATGTTTAACCTAAAATTTAAGAGTTCTCTTAAATGTAAGTGTGTAAGGTATCATTTTGTGGCAGAAGACAAACTCAGTGAATGTTTCTTTCATTCCCAAATAGTCAACAATCCAGACATTTGATTTTTAATTTCTTCTACTATGCTATGGTTCAAGAAAAGTCATGACACTTAGCAGTTTTATAAATCTCTTATGACTCTAGAGGACTTTGAAAGTTCAAATTAACTAATATATTCGGATTTTTGGTTTTTTTTTTTTATAATGTCTCAAACTGTCACCCAAGGTAGAGTGCCATGGTGTCATCATAGCTCACAGTAGTCCTCAACTCTTGGGCTTAAGTGATCCTCTTGCCTCAGTTTTTTCTGTTTTTAGTAGAGATGGGGTCTTACTCTCGCTCAGGCTGGTCTCAAACCTATGAGCTGAAGCAGTCCATCCACCTCAGCCTCCCAGAGTGCTAGGATTATAGTCTTAAGCCACTGCGCCTGGCCAGGAATTGTTTTTTAACATTTAAGATGCTGTACCCATTTTAGAGAATAGTACCTTATTTTTTTAATTAGAAAAATAATTATGAAGTACATAGAGCCTGCAGAAATAAGAAGTCTGACTGCAGAGGGATTGATAGAAAAGGCAAAAGAAACATTTTATACTGTATATTTGGGGTTGTGGTCAGAGTTGTTTGGTGTGGTATCACTTTGTATTAGGCAACAAAGGGGTAGATAAGTCCAGAATTTAGAATGTTAGTATCCTAAGAAATGATCCTACTCCAGCTTCTCAGACAGGTAATCATTAAGCCTCTATTTGAATATATTCCATGATAGGACACTCCTTACCTTGGTAGTAAGCCTGTTTTGTTGTTGAATAACTCTAGTTTTTAGAAAGATTCTTACATCAAACTGAAATTTGAAATTCTCTTCCTATTAACTTTAATGCTGCTTTATGGAATTACACATGACAGGTTTTGAATATTTGAGGAATAGATATTATTCTCATTTTGAGGTTTTTAAATCCACAGATCATTCAAGATGCATACAAACTGAGGATCTCTATTATGGATATAGTTCATCTAAAAATATAATTCTTTTATATTTACCTGGGTATTTATCATTTCAAAACTTCTTCATTCCTTTTTGAAGATAAATGTTTCCTTCTGGTATAATTTCCCTTTAGCCTGAAAGTTTTCCTTTAGCATTTTCTTATTGCATAGTCTAGAGTTTTCTTTTATCTGAGAATATCTTTGTTTTGTATTCATTCTAGATGGATATTTTTCCTGGATATAAATTTTTGGGTTTACTTGTCTTTGCTTTGTTTTTTTTTTTTTTTTGCTTTTTTTTTGTTTTGTTGTTTTTTTTTGGCTTCGTTTTTATAGCACTTTGAAGGTGATATTTCACTGTCTTCTGGTTTCTAGTTTTCTGATGAGACGTCTCCATAAATTCTAATGGTTTCCTCCTATATGGATGTATTCTTTTACTCTGGCTGCTTTCAAGATTTTCTTTAGTTTTTCAGCAATTTGACTTTAATATTCCTAGTTGTATTTATTATATTTGAGGTTTGCTCAGCTTCTTGGATCTGTAAATGTGTGACTTTCACCAAATTTGGGACATTTTAGTACATTTTTCTTGCTGGAACTAATTACATGTATATTAGGCTTCATAATATCCACATGTTCATTTTTTCAAACTCTTTTTTTGTTCTTTGGATTGGATAATTGTGTTCATCTACAAGTTCACTGACTCTGTTATCTCCATTCTGCTGGTAAGCTCATCAGTGAACGCATCAGTTAATTTATTGTATTTTTTATTTTATTTTATTTTATTTATTTTTTGAGACAAGAGTCTCACTTTGTCGCCCTTAGTAGAGTGCTGTGCAGCCTCAAACTCACAGCAACCTCAAACTCTTGGGTTCAAGTGATTGTCTTATCTCAGCCTCCCAAGTAGCTAGGACTACAGACACCTGCCACAACGCCCAGCTATTTTTAGGGATGGGGGTCTTGCTCTTGCTTAGGCTGGTCTCAAACCTGTGAGCTCAGGCAGTCCACCTGCCTCAGCCTCCCATAGTGTTAGGATTACAGGTGTGAGCCACTGCACCCAGCCCAATTTTATTTTTTATTTTAGATGCAGTTAGGCAATACATTTTTTAAGTTCTGAATTTCTATTTCTTCTTTTTTTTTTGAGACAGAGTCGTAAGCTGCTGCCCTGGGTAGAATGCCATGGCATCACAGTTCACAGCAACCTCCAACTCTTGGGCTCAAGTGATCTTCTTGCCTTAGTTTTTTTGTTTTTAGTAGAGGTGGGTCTTGCTTTTGCTCAAGCTGGTCTTGCATCTGTGAGCTCAAGCAATCTACCCTCCTCAGCCTTCCAGAGTGCAAGGATTGCAGGTGTGAGCTGCCTGGCTTTCTTTCTTCTTTTCTTTTTCTTTTTTTTTTTGAGACAGAGCCTCAAGCTGTCCCCCTGGGTAGAGTGCCGTGGCATAGCTCACAGCAACCTCCAACTCCTGGGCTCAAGCGAGTCTCCTGCCTCCGCCTCCCAAGTTACTGGGACCACAGGCGCCCACCACAACGCCTGGCTATTTTTTTTTTCCAGTTGCAGCCATCGTTTGGTGGGCCCCGGCTGGATTTGAACCCGCCACCTTAGGTGTATGTGGCTGGCGCCTTAGCCACTTGAGCCACAGGCGCCAAGCCTCTTCTTTCTTTTTAATTTTAACTTTTATTTTTAAATAGTTCTATTCACAAGGATTTGCAGAAATTATGCAGAGTTCCTGAGTATTCTTCATCTGTGTTTTATTCTTTTAATATTATCTTTTAATTCATTTCAGGCATTTTTTCCTTTACCTCAAATTGAATTATAATGGCTGCTTTAAAGACCTTGTCTGATAATTTCAGTATTAAGCTCATCTCTGAATTTTGATTTCCTTGTCCCTTGAGAAAGCGTCACATTTTCTTGTTTATTCTTATGTCCAAAAATATTGGATTTTATCTTGTACATTATCGTAGGCACTTTGGATTCCATTATAGTCCTGCAAAGAGTGTTAATGTTTTTGTTTTAGTAAGCAGTTGAACTGGTTAGATTCAAACTGTAAGCTTTGTTTTACCTGGGATGAGTAGAACCTTTAATCACGTCTTTGTAGCTTTTTATTTATTTATTTATTTATTTATTTAGAGACAGAGTCTCACTCAGTCCGTCCTCTTGGGGTCGAGTGCTGTGGCGTCATCGCTTATAGCAACCTCAAACTCTTGGGCTCAAGTGATTCTCTTGCCTTAGCCTCCTAAATAGCTGGGACTATAGACACCCACCACAACTGTGCCTACACATTTTGTACCTTTAAAAAAAAACTATTCGTTATAGAAAATTTTGAACAAATACAGAAGTAGAGAAAATAAATCCCAGAGTTGAGTAAAGAAATCCCACAAATTCGTTGCCTGGCTTCATGTCCACTATTGTTTCATCTGTGCACTTTACTCTTTTTCTTCTTGACACTTACTATTTAGAACAAATCTCGGGTATTATATCATTTTATTCTCATTTTGATACATCTCTCTAAAACAAAGGATTCTTGGCTAGGCATGGTGGCTCACGCCTGTAATCAATCCTAGCACTCTGGGAAGCTGAGACGGGTGGAATGCTTGAGCTCACAGGTTTGAGACTACACTGAGCAAGAGCAAGACCCCCGTCTCTACTAAAAATAGAAAATCTGAGGCAAGAGAATCATTTGAGTCCAAGAGTTGGAAGTTACTGTGAGCTATGATGTCACAGTGCTCTACCCAGGGCAACAAACAGCTTGAGACTGTGTCTCAAAAATAAATAAAACAAAGGATTCTTTTAAGATGATAAGCAGTGGCTCTGCACCTGTAGCACAGTGATTACAGCACCAGCCACATGCACTGAGGGTGGCGAGTTCGAACCCAGCCAGGGCCAGCCAAACAACTGCAACAAAAAAATAGCTGGGCATTGTGGTAGGTGCCTGTAGTCCCAGCTACTTGGGAGGCTAATGCAAAAGAATTGCTTAAGCCCAAGGGTTTGAAGTTGCTGTGAGCTGTGACACCACGGCACTGTACCGAGGATGACATAGTGAGACTCTGTCTCAAAAAAAAAAAAAGATGATAAGTAGTTGCTTTTTATAAAACACTGTTATGGAAAAGTATAAGCACATTCAAAAGTAGAGAGAATAGAATAATGAATCCAGTGTACCATCATCCAGCTTCAATGATTCTCAGTATTTGCTCTCTTTTTGTTATCTATACCCCCCTATATCACTACACCTCCTAGATTATTTTGAAGCAAATCTTAGGCATTATATGATTTCATCTTTTGAAATGTTGGTATCTAAAAGATAAGAACTTTGAAAAAAGCCCGTAGTACCATTATTAAAGCGAGAATGTTTAATGGTGATTCATTTTGGTCAATTATCTGAGGAATGTTTATACTACACTGTTTTATTTTTTAGCTTGTGTTAGAGTTCAAAATATTGCTATTGGTTGATGAATTTTTAAATTTAATATTCAATTCCCACTCTCACTGACAAGTTTTTCCTATAGTTTCCTATGGTGAATTTTGCTCCATTTCTATGGTATTACATAAGTATTCCTCTGTCCCCTTTATTTCCTCTAAATTGGTAAAGCTGGCTCGGTGCCTGTGGCTCAAGTGGCTAAGGCACCAGCCACGTACACCCAAGGTGGCCGGTTCGAATCTAGCCTGGGCCTGCCAAACAACAATGA